TTTTTTTTTTTTTTTTTTCGTCTCTTTCTCATGTCATCCTGAGAGGTTTCTCTACCTTCAGAATGTGTACTACTACCATAGCCGCAATAAAAATATTTCAACCCTTAATTATTTCCCACCTCTCTTAAATACTTTGGGCAGCGCTTATGCATTAATACCGAGTATCGTCTGGCTATAATGCCCTTTGTCTGTGCAATTAACATAAATTTTACCGTTGGGCATTAATACTCCGATCACTTGTCTTGTACTTGGCTTTGGTAGCACCCTCTTTATAGACTTGAAGAAGAGGTAGAAATCATGTTTAAGATATGAAGAAAAGTAAGTTCATGACATGTCATAATAATAACTAAAGGGAGAAAGATGAGGAATATATCGAAATAATACTTCCATATTCCGAATGTAAGAGAGAATATCACGTGACAGGGGAAAATGGCCACCCCCGATTCACACCGTCTCTACTTCCACATCGTCCACACCCGTCCACTTCCGCTGTCCAACATCAATCAGACCACTCGATTTTTCCTCACCAAAACATCAACAGTCTTCATCGTGTCTTCTCTACTTAATTCAAAATCCAAACTTCGATCTAGTTCGATATCTTGACCCTGCCATCAAATCCCTCCCAGAACGATCATCTGAAAGATCAACTATCATGGCGAAATATATGAGTAACCACAGTAGTAATTGCAATCAAATGCAGCGGTTTCTCGACCAAGACTCTCAGAGCACCGTTCTGGCTACTTGCTACAGTGTTGAGCCGTCGACCTCCAAGGTCCACGGCTTCCACTACTGCACTACCCTGGGCGCCGGTAAGTATCTCGTAACCCGTCGCATCCATGTTGCTCACCGTCTAATGTCCAAATCTAGGGGTACAGTGGTATGCCTGAGGTCCCTTCGGGGACTAAATCGTCTCGTTCAAGTCCTCCCCACGATATCCTCGATTCCCGCGCGGAACGAACCTGGCCTGGAAATAATTGGCCAGAGTACAAGGGGGAGGCAACGCATAACATCCCGGAAGAGTGTGAGAGACTCTTCTGTGACAGACTGTCTGCGACATTCCTGGGTGAGAGGAATTTCGTGGGACAGGAGTCGCTGGGGATGGATGCGTTCTCAAATGTGCAGTCAAAGCAAATCGAGCACCAGCATAATCGAATCCAGCGATGGATAGAGGTGTGGGATTACTCTAGTGATGCGATCTACCGCGGATTTGTGGCTGAACACAACAAAGAGCGGACACTGTTCGTCTTCTTCGAGGACCGTGCACTTGAACACGGCCTCAAATCTGGGTATGTACGCCCCTTGTGTTTCCTTGGACAAGTCAAGGCTTTCCCCTTCTGTTTAGTGACTGTCCTTCATACGTGTTTGATCACCTGCTGACCTTGGCCTCCGTTAGCTTGATCGCTCTGTTTGAACTTGCTGATATTGCCACCTTTGGGTGTTCGCAAATAGTGGCATGTGTCAGTCGCTCACAGCGCACAGATGAAATGGAGCTCGTGCGAAGTCTAGGATGGTGTGGATTCAACCTCACCACCTTGGCACCCTGGGTCTCAGGCAGTGAGGAAGGGCCATGCCTTAGTAATAAATGGCTTTTCTTGGTTGCCGAAGTCTAGCGATAGCATCATCGATGCGTTTTAAGTCGTTTGGATTGGAGTTATGGGTCTTCTTTATGTCTTGATGCTTTGTTACGCAAGGCGACTGTCCTTTTATTCCGAATACCTAGTATTGCTTCACTTTTTTTTCATTTATTTTTACGTATTGTTGGATTGCATACATACATGTATGTAGTGTTCTAATGAGAATGTCACTTTCCCCCGCTTTGACGGAAAAAAGCCCCGTGCGGACAAGATAAGAGATAAGTCATACATGACCTCACCTGCAATTCACCTTTCACCTGGGCATACATCCCTTCCAACCTTGGGAAGCCCTTTAAGGCCCTCTCAGAGTGAAGCCTCCCGTTTAAAGATCAGAATGTCTAAGGAGCGCGTCAAAACTATCCAGTTCCCTAAATTCCTCCTTCCCACCGTGTTTTCCTCGAAAAACAATGCGGGGCTTTCTCCAACGGACCATAGATCCCAAAACGCGAAGACGGAGAAGTATCTCGACGGTCATGTTTCCTATCTGCGCTGTGCAGGCTGTGCCTCACATCTTTGCTGGACTTCTCAAATTATTAGCAAGGGGTTTACAGGTCGCCATGGCCGTGCCTATCTTGTGTCGGCAGAGCCAGTAGCCACTGCTGTGTCGGTCAGCGCGTCATCTTCGCCTACAACCTCACTCCCCAATACGATATTGCAGCGTCCAGTCCCTCGGCAGCTTGTCACAGGGGCACATACAGTCAGCGATATTAGCTGCACATTCTGTGACAGTGTCTTGGGCTGGAAGTATGTTGCAGCCGAAGAAGAATCACAGCGGTACAAGGTTGGCAAGTTCATTCTGGAGACCAAGAAAATCGCCACCTCTTCATGCTGGGAATCCTCACCTGGTGTGGATCAAGCCGATCACCAATATGAAGTCGAGTCTGGCCCAGCAAATACAGAGTTTGACAGCCAGGATGAAGATGAGTGCGAGGACCTGTTCGCCGGAATCTGGAGCCCTGGACTTGCTGCACGTCGAAGAAACCGTGATATTAAACGTCGACCTGCAATGTGGGGAATCTCATAGCTGCAGGAAATCCTGGGGATGGATCTTGTGGGATGAGGTTATTGCATAATGTGACATGATACCCTTTCGAACAATGTTGTTTTGCCTTTTCCTATTGCCTTTCCCTCTGTTGCATACTAATACACTATTAATTAATACCAGCCAACAAGAGCTTGCGATCTATGATCCTTTTTTTTTCTTCGGAAGCCCGGCATTTCGCACGGGATCTGATTCATTGAATTCATTAACACCCTGGTAGTTTAGATGGTTTCTAGGTAGGATGTATAAAAGAGAAGAAAAGAAAACTCCGATTCAGTCAAAGGACACGAGACCACCTTGTTCATGAGGAAGCATCGTCAACGCGAGACCGCTTGGAGCCATTCTCCGCGGGTTCCTCCTCGGCAGGTCTTTTCGAGGCGGTTTCAGGCTGCTGGGTTGGCTGCTTTGCAGGTTTACGTTTGACAAAGGCAGACAGATCTGTTGCTCCCTTGCTAGCTGCATCAAGCTGAGCTTTCTGGTCTGTTGCGGATTGACCGATGATCTGACCCAGAACTCCCTTTAGCATAGCCTCGTTGGCTTGGTCGTTCTGCTCAATTGAGACGGGTGGTCGGCGAAGATCGACAAGCTGATTTAGTTCATTATTAACAGGTTCAAGTAATATCTAGAAAGTAATGGCAAGAGAGAAAAAGGAAACGCTTACCCTTTGCTCCATCTCAGTGACGATCTCCTTAACATTAGCGATCTTTCGCTTTGTCGCAGTTGCCTTGTCCTCATCCTCATCTTTCTCGGCCTCTAGTTTCTTCTCCTCCTGGGCCATTCGGACCTTGCAGCTCGCGATGGCATGTTCCATCTGTGTGGCAGCTTCTTTCCTCATCTCTTCATCAATTTTGGGTTTATCGGTGCCATCCTCCTCACCACCTTGTTGGCCTGATGCGAATTCTAGGGCGAGGGAGAGCTTGTAATGGCACTCAGCAACAGAGGGATCTTCTTGGGGATATAGCGAGTTTCTCAATTCGAGGACAGTTCTCAAGTCAGTAACCGCTTCACTGAATCTCTCACCTTCCAGTGAAATTTCAGCTTGAAGATCGTGTGTGTCTGCGATTCTTTCCTTGACGTGCTTTATGTCTGAGGATATCACAGTCGATTTTCCTTTGCCCCTGTCATTTTCCTCTATAGCACTTAGCTTCTTGAGGTACAGAACACGGGCAAGATCCAAAACCTCATAGGCATTGGCGAAATCGTCGTCTTCTTCTTCGTCTTCGCCTTGCTCACCAGCTTCCTCATCCTCGTCCTCGGAGTCGACAAAGTTTTCATCTCCGGTAAACTGGAAGAATGGCTTAGATTCTGTGGGCTCCAGTTCTTTTTCTGCGCGCTTGGTGGAAGACGACTTTTCCGCCATCGAGTTGGCGATCGCGTCTTGGACAAGGGAATTACTGGTGGATTTCGACCCAGCGGAAGATGTATTTGTTGAAGAAGTGGTGCCAGATTGCGGCTGCTGCTCGCCGGCTACCTTGGAGCCAAGGACATCACTTTTACTCACAGCCACGTTGTACAATGACTTTCCGTAGGCATAGAGCAAATCGGCATTCTCGGGGGACAATTCGCCGTTGAGTTCGGCCTGAAGCTCGGTAGCTTGGGAGTACAGCTCGGAAGCAGAGTCGTGGTCTTTGGTCGCATCTTTTGCAGCAGCGCGTGCGATCAAGTCATTGAGTTGGGCTCGTTTCTCTTGCTCCGAGACGGGAGATTGAACGTCTTGTGGATCAGCCATGGATGCGATTTTGGTGAAGAGTAGTGAAAGGAGGAAGAAATGAATTAGAAAAGTCAAAAGGATAGCCTTCTTAAGAAGTAAGAGCAAGATTAAAGTAGGAGAGTCGAGTGAAGTGGAAAAAAGAGAGAGAAAATGAGATTGGAAGAACCTGGGAAGCTTTAGCTCCGGCGCGCGTGTCACGCGTCTTCGATTTAATTGAATTCTGGATCTCTCTCTCTTTTACACCCACTTCTCCCCTCTTATTATGCACTTACTCTGAATTATATTACCAGGGTCTTTTCTATTCAGAATTGGTTTTTGCTTGAGCTTCTGAACCAATCTCATAAGGCTTCGTCGCGTTTTCTTGAAGTATTGAGACAATATGGACGCCTCAACACCGCGACATCCTGATCGCTTCAGAATGGCGATAGCGGACCCTATTCCTTCGTCCTCGCCTGCATTTGGGACACCAGCACGTCCATTTCGAATGCCCAAGGGAAATGCGCCTCCCACCAAAACTTCAATTTTACCAATCTTACTCCCTCCATCGACCCTGCGCCCAGTAGCCTTTCGGACCTTCACCCGCAAACATAATCTCACAATATCGTCGTCTGCCCTTCAAACACTAGCAGTGTTTGTGGGCAAGAACTGTGGCTCAGGGTGGCGTGAGGAAGGCCTAGCAGAGCGAGTCCTGGATGAGGTTGCCAAGATATGGAAAAGAGCTGGCGGAGGCGTGATTGTTGAGGAAGGGAAAGGAGCCTCCCTAAAGACAATATTGCAAACCCTCGAGGGCAGTATGAGTGGTGGAAGGGTTGTTGTTGGGAAAACGACTTCCCAAGATGGTTCCTTGAAGGCATCCACCCTGGGTGTAGATGATGGGCGGGTTGAAACAGCCGGTGATACCTCAAAACAAGGGACTGCCGAGGAAGATGATACGCAACTGTCGCTTCACCCAAGACGTTGGCTCAAGGTGATTGACGCCTTTGATCTGCCTCGCTTGACGTACAATGTCGACAAGAAATACTTTGAAGCCGTGAAGTCAAAGCCATGCTTGTTTCCATCACCATCTTACAAGACTGCACTATTCCGAGATCGATACAACCTTGTGTATCAGCGATTGCTCCGTAATGAATCTTTTCAGAGCTCATTGGGTGTCGCTAGTGTTCCTTCACTGCAACGTTCATCGTCCAATCTTGCCCACCGACAATCCTATAAATTGACGCCAATCGCAAATTTGCTGGGCAGGAGTGGAACCTCGCATCTACTATTAGGATTGCTTGCAATTTCTCCTACTGGAGACTTATCCCTGGTGGACTTGACTGGAAGTGTAGCATTGGACTTGAGCCATGCCCGAATGATACCCGAAGATGGCGCGTGGTTTGCGCCAGGCATGATTGTGCTTGTTGATGGCATTTACGAAGAGGAAGAGATGGTAAAAGGTGCTGCATTGGGAGGGAATACAGGAATCGGGGGTGCAATCGGAGGCCAGTTTGTCGGCATATCAATCTGCGGACCTCCCTGTGAGCGACGTGATATCTCGCTAGGAACAAGTAACCGCCACGGTAGCGGACAGCTGAGCTCCAGTGGTGGATTTGGGTGGGTTGACTTTCTCGGACTGGGAAGTGAACGTGCCCAGGGTGCACGGATGAGAAGAATCCAGGAAAAATGCCTACGAGGAGACCAGGACGCGCCAGAAACGACGAGGCTCAAAGTCGCCATCATGAGTGAAGTCAATCTAGACAACATGAAGACACTAGACGCCCTGAAGAAGGTCTTCGGCACCTACAATGATCTCTCTCTTCCTGAACGCCCACAAGCCTTTGTCTTGATCGGCAATTTTGCGCAGAAAGCTATAATCAGTGGAGGTGGTCGAGCCGGGAGTATCGAATACAAGGAATACTTCGACTCATTGGCGCTGGTTTTATCCGATTTTCCAGCGTTGCTACAACACTCGACCTTTGTCTTTGTGCCGGGTGATAATGATCCTTGGGCGTCGGCATTCTCTGCTGGTGCAGCCTCAACAGTACCACGACAACCTATTCCGGAACTGTTCACCTCTCGAGTCAGACGGGCATTTACAACAGCGAACGCGGAGTTGAATAGGTCACAAACCGCCGAACCTGCGGGCGATGCAATTTGGACTTCAAATCCAGCACGTCTTTCTTGGTTTGGGCCAGTTCATGACATCGCCATCTTTCGAGATGATATCTCGGGAAGGCTGAGACGCGGCGCTGTCAACACCACCCTTGACAATGAGTCAGATATTACAATGGACGAGCCCTTGAGCAGTGCTGCTGGTGATGCGATCTTTGCTGCTGGGGAGAGCCAGGTCGAAGACATGGGCCAACAACAGGGCACCAAGGCTGCAACCGCCTCGTCTGGAGCGTCAATGGCTCGCAGACTCGTCAAGACCATCCTGGACCAAGGGACAATCTCCCCATTTCCACTTCCATTGCGGCCCGTCTTATGGGACCACGCCTCAGCCCTACAGTTGTACCCGCTGCCAACCGCACTGGTCCTTGCAGACCCCGAGGCTGCACCGTTTTGCATGACCTATGAGGGCTCTCATGTCATGAATCCCGGGCGCTTGCTACCGGAAGGTGGTGCACCAGTGGCAAGATGGGTCGAGTACGATGTGTTAGGCAACCGAGGGAAGGTCAGGGAAGAGCGCTGTTAGCCTAGTTGTAGGAACGATTAATTAAATCTCACGCATCATGAACAGAAATACATTTAGATGCTACGTCATATCGAGACCTAGGAATACATTGTGTGAAGAGAACCTTATAGTTGCTCTTGCATTAAAACGGAAAAGGCTCAAAAAAAAGTATTGAGCTACGCCGAAGCCCTGGAGAGGACGGAGATGGAACCCTGGAAATCATGGACGGATCACCAAATGCCTAGTCAATGGTGCCTAGTCAATGGTGATGACATCGGTATTTCCCTTGGCTTGTGGAGCGGCAGACGTCGAGCCTTTGATGGGCAATTGTTTCGAGATTTGCTCGGGTTTGACTTCCACTTCTCTGTCGAGTTGAAGATGGGGAGCATTAAGACACTCGTGCAGCTCGAGTATGAGGTTTCCAACCTTGCTGATACTCGCTACCGCTCCATCTCCGAGGCCGTTCCAACCATCCCCTTTCGACTGGTACAGTTTCTCTTGTACAGAAGCTGCGACCTGGCCCCGACCAGACTGGTCCATTCCGTTGGCATCCCTTAACATCCAGACCAAACGGTCCTGGTGCATCACTGCGCTCAAGTGGAAACGAGATCGCAGTCG